TGGAATGGGAACAAATAATCGATCTCTTCCAGTCATGGGCCAGCTGGCTGTCCTCCAGATTTCTTGGCACAACTTAGTGAGTACATCCAGGGCATATGAGCAAGAGCCTATGGTGATGAAAGAGGATGTTCAGGTTGCTCTGAAAGAATTGGCAAAAAAACAAAACACTAAGAGTTGACAGCATACCAATTGACATATTTCAACAAACAGACACTGCCCTGGATGTAATATTTCATTAAATTCTTCTGTGTCAGCCAAACCAATATAAAATACAAATTCTTTAAAACAACAAAACCAACATGCATTATGCAGATGACACAATCTTGCTTGCTGAAAATGAGGACTTGAAACATTTGCTTCAGAAGATCATGGACTGCAGCCTTCAATATTGATTATATTACAATATCAAGAAAATAAAAGTCCTCACATTGGACCAACAGCCAACATTATGATAGTTGGAGAAAGGATTGAAATTGTCAATTATTTAATCTTGTTTGGATCAACAATCAACACCGACAATTTGGATCAACAATAGCAGTACTAGCAGACAGGACATCAGGAGAAATATTTCATTGGGCAAATCTGCTGTTAGAGATCTCTATAAAACACTGAAAAGCAATGAATGATGTCAATCTGAACACTAAAATGCACCTGATGCAGGCCATGGTCTTTTCAATCACTTTCTATGTATGTGACAGTTGGATAATGAATGAGGATGATAGAAGAATTGATGCCTTTGAGCTGTCATATTGGAAAAGAGTACTGAACATCCCATGATTTCTGCCAAAAGAAAAAAATAGTTATGTCTTGGAAAAGTGCAGACAGAGTGTTCCTTGGAGGCAAAGATGGAGAAGCTTCATCTCTCACATTTTGTACATGTTTCTAGGAGAGGCTATGCTTTTGGAATGGACATCGTGCTGGGAAAAGTGGAGAGTCAGTGAAGGAGAGGAAGATCCCCAACCAGATGGATTGATACAGTGACTGCAGCAATGGTCTTGAGTATGTCAAAGATGAGGAGGACAGTACAGGAGAGGACAGGGTCCTGGTCTGTTGTTCATAGGATTGTTATGTTTCATACTCACCACAACAGCACCAAACCACAACAACAACCTCTAGCCTCCCATTGGCATAGTTTTGGCAGTTTGGGATTGGTGCTTGAAATCCACCCAGTGGTGCCACAAAAGAACGTCCTCGTAATCTACTTCTGTAAGACTACCCAACACTGTCAAGTCAATTCTGACTGATAACGACCTCACAGAAGAGAGCAGAACTGCCTCATGGAGTGACCACGGCTATACTTCTGATGGCACAGATCATGAATTGTTCACATGCAAACTCAAGTCGAAGCTGAAGAAAATGAAGACAAGTCTAGGAAGGTCAAAGTACAACCTTGAGTAGTCCTAATTTAAAAACAACCTCAAGAACATACCTGATACCTTGAACAGGAACAATCAAACACTAGATCAGTTGCGGGGCGGCATCAAGGACATCATACATGAAGAAAGCAGATGGTGGTTAAAAAGACTTTGTGCTACAGGGTCACTAAAGGTTGGAACTAAACCAATGACAGTGAGTCTGTTTGTTCTGTTTTGTGTTGTTTTGTATGTTGTATTCCCTCTTGGCCATGCTCACCTCACAATGTAGCTGTGAATAGCAAACAGTACAAAAGACAATCCCTTTATCATCTGACAACACCCAGCACCAATTAGTGGTCTGTGCAGAGCTAGGCTGGGCTGTCCTCACCCATCTCCACCAACTTTCTTTTGCAGTGGCCCTGAGCACCTGCAATCCACACAGCCAAGCCCTCTGTGACAGCAGGACAGGTGTGCTGGCCAGAGCCAAGGCCACAGAGACTTTCTCAAGAATAGATTTGATGCATTGAACACTTACGACCAAAGACTAGATGAGTTATGGGATGATATCAAGAATAATATCACCCTCAGAGAAATAAAAAGGTCATTAAAAAGACAGGAAAGAAAGAAAAGACCAATATGTGTGTCAGAACAGAGTGTGAAGCGTACTCTTGAAACTAGGATAGATAAAGCAAAGGGAAGAAATAAGAAAGAACAGAACATTTCAGGGCATTTCAGAAAAACAAAGTAATGTATTATAATGAAATTCACAAAGACCTGGAGTTAAAAAAAAATAAAATGGAACAAAGAACACGCCCCAGAAGAATAAAACAACTTTGAGCCATTTCAGAGATAGTATATTGTAAAAAAGAGCAAGGGCTGTGTGGAGGGCCATGTCTGCAGTGACTCTGTGTACTCTTCATCTTGATGTTTACTGTGTCGTTTAATATTTTACTCATAGAATCTTCCACAGTTGCAATCTGAAGCTTGAGTTTTATTTTTTGGCTTTCAACCTGACTCAAGCCATGGCATTTTCCATCATCCCATGTGACTGAAACAATGAATAAGGAAGACTCAAGAAGAATTGATGCCTTTGAAATAATCTAAGTGCTCATCAACAAACTAATGGATAGAGAAGCTCTGGTATATTCACACAATGGAATACTACGCTGCATTGAAAAACAAGGAACTCATGCAATATTATTCAGAATGGATGACCCTGAAGGACATTATGCTGAATGAGATATCTCAGTCACAAAGGGACAAATACTGCATAGTGCCACTGTGTAAAACAGGACTGACATAGGGTTTGGGAGGAGACTGAGAAAGATGGGATAAATTCTGTATACTGCACTGAAACAGATGAGAGAGAGAACTGTTTAAAAGGGATATATGATTAGGTATTATTGTCATAGCAGGAGTCCAGAACCAAAGCTGCATAGTGGCGTGGACTTGGGGGGAGAGATTGTATAACAATGAAAGAATTTTTCTTTTACTTTCAAAGAGAAGAATGAACTGGAAGGAAGGAGTGAGCAGGGAGAAAGTGCAACAATGAATGAATGAATGGAAATCCAAAATATCTGTAAATTTTCATTAAAACTAATAAAATAATAATAATTTTTTTCTTACCAAACATAATGGCTTTATTCCATGATTTACTATATATTGTGACAGAATACACATATACTGTGGGAGGAAATGTAAAGAAATCCATTTTAAAAATATCATCTAGATTACGTCAATGACTTTTTTTAAATAATAACATTTTAAAAAAAAAAAGGATTGATGCCTTTGTAAGATGGTGTTGGTGAAGAATATGAAATATACCATGGACTGCCAGAGGACCAACCACATTTGTTTTGGAAGAAATACAGCCAGAATGCTCTTTAGAAGCAAAGATAATGAGACTCCAAGTCTTCACCTCACATATTTTGATTAGGAGGGATCAGTCTCTGGAGAAGGTAGTTACCAAATGCCATCAAGTCCACAATGACTCAGCAATCCTCCCTTAGATTTCCGTGGCACCAGGGATGCATGCCATTGCTGACGTCAGACGGACTCTGGCTGAAAACAGAGAATACCAGAAGGACATCTACTTGGATTTTACCAGCTATGCAAAGACATTTGACTATGGGGGTCACAACAATGGTGGCTAACGTTGAAAAGAATGGGAATCTCAGAACACTTAATTGTGCTTATGCAAAACATATACCTAGACCAAGAACTTGTTGCACTAACAAAGCAAGTGAACACTACATGGTTTTAAAACAAGAAAGGTGTGCGTTAGAGCTGTATCCTCCCTCCATACCTGTTCAATCTCTGCTGAGAAAAATCATTCAAGAAGCTGGATTTTAAGAGGAAGAATGTGGCATCAAGATCAGAGGAAGACTCATCTGCGTTATACAGATGGCACAACCTTGCTTGCTGAAAGTGAGTAGGACTTGAAGTGCTTGCTTCAGAAAATCAAAGACTACAGCCTTCAAAATGGATTATATCTCTACACAAAGGAAAATCCTCACCACTGGGCTAATAGGCAGCATCATGGTAGATGGAGAAACGATAGAAATTGTCAATAACTTCATCTTGTTTGGATTCATAATTCATACCCTTGGTATCAGCAGTCAGAAAATTAAAAGACATGTTGCACTGTGGTCAGAGACCTCTCCTGAAGAGCAAAGAGGTCAGTTTAAAGACCAAGGTGCACCTGATCCAAGCCATGGTCTTTTTGGTTGCTTGCTATGCATCTGAAAGTTGGACAGTGAAGAACGATGACAAAAGAAGAATCAATGCTTGGAGTTGTGCTGTTGGAGGAGAAAACTGAATATCCTATGAACTGACAAGAGAACAGACTTTGAGAGAGTGCACCCAGGATGCTTCTTAGAGGAAATTCAGATTGTGAAACTTTGTCTCAGTACTTTGGGCATGTTGTTAGAGGGGGGCCAGTCTCTGGAAAAAGACATCATTCTTGGAATGATGGAGGATCAGTGAAGGAAGGGGTGACCCTCAACAAGATAGATTGACACAGTGACGGGGTGTGGCAGATATGATAAAGAGGGCACAGAGCAGGACAGTCTTCAGGTCCATTGTTCATAGGGTCACTAAGAGTCCTAGTCACCTTGACAATTGGTTCCTAACAACAACAACAACCTATGATGTTTCTTCCACGGTGATGCTGGTGGATTCAAACAACAAAGCTTTATCGTGAGCAGCCTGACAGGTTACACACGGTGACACCAGGGCTCCTGGTAAAGTCAGTGAACCAGAGGAGGACCCTCAACTAGATGGAACGACAAGGTGCCGCAGGGATGAGTCCCAGCATAGCAAGCTCATGTGTACTGGCAGGACCAGACGGTGCTCTGTTCTGTTAGACACAGGGTTGTTATTAGATGGGGTTAACTCGATGGCACCTCTCAGCCTGGCACGGAGCAGGCTTTCGAGAAATAGCAGCTTACGTTTAATTATTAATGCTGTATAAAAACCCATCCTGAGTTTGTCCCAACAACTGAACAACTGGCAATTGACATTATGTAATAACTTTTCCCGTCTTTCTCAACAGGTGCAGATCTGTGACTCCAAATAGTGTCTGGAGCAGTCAGGATGTCACTCCAGGCTCGTGGACCAGTGCCTGGGCAGCGATTCCATCTGCCGATGGCAGCCCAGGTGCTTTGGGGCGGCCTCTGCCTGCTCCGTGTGCTGTGGTGTCTCCTTCCGCAGACAGGCTATGTGCACCCAGATGAATTTTTCCAGTCGCCTGAAGTCATGGCAGGTAAATCTCCTCGGGGGTGAAAAGGAGCAGTTTCAGCAAAGCTGGGCTGGACTGCTGTCTGGACATCGAGGTGGGGGTTGGGGGGAAGAGGAAGCACGTCTGTGCACCGGGGAGGTACAGCTGCAGCCTCTCTGAGCTGACTTGAGTGTCAGCACTTCATACTTCCGCCCTGCGCAATGCCACAGACCTTCTGTGTGATATTAATAAATCACTGATCTCTGGTGTAGTGGGCCTTTACCGAAGCACTCAAGATTTAGGCTTTCTCTGGGCATTTGGAACCCGGGACTTGGGTATCTGCACAGAGTTACTATTAATAGTTGCCGCCTGCTTAGGACAATGTCTGGGTCATTCAGAAAGCAAGCTGCATTGGACTTCTCTCTAAAGGAGTTTTTTCACTGTGCTTGTCCAGTGAACAGGGAGCTTTGCACACGGCTGTGAATGCACACAATAAATCTTTTATCTGTAGGTAAATGTGAGGAGTAAGGGAACTCGGACCTGGCATGATCACTACTAAGGGAGTGTAGGATTATTCATGAGGATGCTTGCCAGAGCCCTGGAGCCTTCTCAAACAGCTGCTTCTTCGTGGTTCAAGATAGCTGTCGCAATTCCAGCCATCAGGTCTAAGTCCCAGGCAACAGAAAAGAAATTAACATGTCTGTCACCTTTAAGGGCATTTTTGAAACTCACATACTTTACACACACACACACACACACACACACACACACACACACACACTTATATGCCATTAGTCAGAATGTATCAGTCATGTGGCTATCTATGCCAAGCTGCAAGGGAAGCTGAGAAATGTCGTGGTTACGCTGAATCTAGAGCCCGACTGATATGAGACAGTCTTTAAGGAATAGGAGAGAATGGATATCAGGGAGGTTGAATGGGCACTCACCATCTCTTCCAGATTCGATAATCAGTGGCAATAGCTACACAGAACTCAGACCATACTTACAGTTAAGTGATTACTAAGGAGCAGAATACAATGGGGGATCAGAATCAGGAACTATGCGGGCAAAGTCTCTCTTCTTTAGCGCAGGACCGCCCTCCCAGCTCTTCTCAGCCACTGATTCCACCAGAGTCCCTTCCACGCCGCTTACTGTCATCACTTTTATAGCCTTGACCTGAGTCACAGATCTTCTAGAAGATTCCTTCATTCCTCTTCTCAGTCTGCTTCTTCTCTCTTCTTTCTTCTGCTTCTTTGAAAACCTCTGTGGGGCTGGCTGCATTGACACACAACTGCTCGTCACTTTTAAGGGCTGATCTTCCCAAAGTCACAAACTGACAGAGCCCCTTTCACAAGTGACAATCCCCTGTAACCCTAGGTCTAGACAGAGAGCATCAGAGCACACCATTTACAGCTTAACCAGGAGGCATCAAGCAACCTGGACTAAACTAACAAACTTCTTGGTGTAGAAAACTAGCCCAAAGGTAACTCCTTGGAATCTAGAGGAGAAACATTTTCAAGCTGGTATCCCCCCAACTAAAGAAGAAAGCTGAAAATCCACAGAAAGGACCTCGTTTGACCACAGAGAAAAACCCAGATATTTTTGCTACCAGCTAAATCAAGGGATTTTCTTTTTAAGCCCCAAAGACTTGTCATCTTTCACATACATTGTTGTTGTTATGTGCTGTCAAGTCACCTGCAACTCATAGTGGCCCTATGTACAACAGTCCTAAACCCTGCCCTATCCTGTGCCAGTCTTATTGTCTCTGACACACCTACCTCCATTACCCCCATCACTGAATCAATCCACCTCATATCGAGGGTCTTCCTCTCCTGTGCTGTCCCTCTACCCTCCCAAATATGATTTCCCTCTCCAAAGACTGGTCCCTTCTTGCAGCATGTCCAGAGTATGTCAGACAAAGCTTCAGAATCCTTGCCTCCAAGGAGCAGCCTGGTCTCACCTTTTCTAGGACTAACCTGTTTGTTCTTCTAGCAGTCAACATTCTTCTCCAGCACCGCAGCTCAAAGGCATCAATTCTCCTTTTTTCACACCTAGTCATTGTCCAGCTTTCAGATGCAAAGCAAGTAATTGCAAAGACTATGGCCTGGGTCAGGTTTACCTTAGTCTCCAGAAAGCCATCGTTGCTCTTCAGTACTTTGGAGAGGTCTCTGACAGCAGACTTTCCCAATGCAATTCGTCCTTTGATCTCCTGGCTTCTGGTGCCAAGAGTGTTTATTATGGAGCCAAGCAAATATTCCCACATACATATGTATGGTGTTTTGGTGTGTGTGTGTGTGTGTGTGTGTTTACCTGAGCCAGCAAAAAGCAGCCAGATTTATCAGATTCTAGATTTCCTGTTTCTTTTTCACCTCTGACATAAAGTAGATAAAATGGCCAAAGTCTGGCAGGCTGAGCGGGTGAAGCAAAGAGCTGTAAACAACGAAGGTGAGATGTTACAGACAACACAGCTTGGCTAAAAGATGCTCCTCTTGTTAAAAGAGTAAGCTACCATAGAGACAACTGCAGTTCAGTTGGATTTTACCACAGAGTGCCAGAAGAACAAAAAAAAATCTCTTTTGGAGGAAATTCAGCCAGAGAGCTGAAGGAAGCAAGGACTGAGACTTCACACATAATTTGGACATGTTATCAGAAGAGGCCAGTGTTTGGAGAAGGACAGAATGGATGGTCAATGAAAAAGAGGAAGGCCCTTGACGAGTTGGACTGACTGACACAGTGGCTACAGCAGTGGCTTCCACCCAGCAGTGATTACGTGGATGGCACAAGATGCCGGGTACGTAGACATGATGGCTACAGGCCATGTATCAGCCTATTCTACATACAGTCACTAAGATTCGATGCTTACATCAGGGAGCACTGGTGGCATGGGAGTTAAATCATTCTGTTGCTACTCACCAAAAGGTCAGTGGTTCAAACCTACCAGCTGCTCCTTGAGAGAAAGATGTAGCAACCTGCTTCCCTTTTTTTCCAAAAAAAAGCAAAATAAGTGTGGAAAGTGAAACAAACAAACAAACAAACTCACTGCTGTCTCATCAAAACTGACGAGGGCTGACTGTCCAATTACGTTTCCGAGGGTGTTCAGGGCAGATTGCTCATACTTCTCCTGAGGAGTCTTTGGTGTCTTGACAACATCAGAGGTGCCTGGCCTTTGGGTAAGCACCAAAACTCCCCATAGACTAGGCCACCAGAGCTCCATCCTGAAAGTTTAAAACACTGAAAAGCAGTTCTGCTCTGCCCTACAAGGTCAGTGTGAGCAGACGTGACAGGAGGGCTGTGGATTTTAAGGTCTTCCTGCTCTCACCACCCCTCTGAGCTATGAGATATGGAGGTACAGGCTTTCTAGACCAACATCAGACATAAAGTACTTTATTTAACTACACAAGTACTAGGCAGCTCTGGTGGCCTACTGGTAAGCAGCTGTGCTGCTGCAATCCTGAATGAGTATGGTTCAAATCCACCCGCTGTTCTGCTGGAGAAGGATGGGCAATCTCCTCCCGTGCAATTAACTGCCTTTGAAAACCTGCCAGTCGGTCAGCTATGGGTTGATGGTACACAACAACAACAACACAAAAGCACTGCCTAGAGATATTCCTTTAGTAAAAAAATTCGTTTACTTGGCTCCACAGTCAACACTCTTGGCACCAGCAGCCAGGAAATTATAAGACATATTGCAATGGTAAAGCCTGCTGTTAGGGACCTCTCCAAAGTATTAAAGAGCAATTGTGTCTCTCTGGAGACTAAGGTGTGCCTGATACAGGCCATGGTCTTTGCTATCACTTGTTATGCATCAGACAGCTGGACAGTGACTAAGGAGGATAGAAGGAGAACTGATGCCTTTGAGCTGTGGTGCTGGAGAAGAGTATTGAGGGTACCATGGACTGCTGAGAAAACAAACAGATTCATCCTGGAGAGGGTTAAACCAGGTGGCTCCTTGGAGGCAAGGATTCTGAGGCTCTGTCTAACATACTTTGGACATGTTGTGAGGAGAGGCCAGTCCTTGGAGAGGGACATCATGCTTGGGAGGGTGGAGGGACAGTGCAGGAGGGGAAGGCCCTCTATGAGGTGGACCGATTCGGTGACTGGGATAATCGGGACGGGTGTATCGGGGACAGTGCAATTGGCAAAGGACAGAGTATAGGGCTGTTGTACATAGGGTCGCTATGAGTCTCAAGTGACTTGATGGCACATAACAACAACCACCACCACAGAGAAAACAAAGATCCCCTTTAACCATGACCTTTGTTGCTTATTCTCACTCCTCCTCTCCAGGTCAGTGAGCACAGACTTATTTTTGCTCATTACTGTTCTGCAGTGAACACTTTCACATGGCTTTATCACAAGCAACCCCTTATTTACTTTGCTTACTGGGTGTTCTATCCCTGTTAAACTTCCTGCCATTAAGTCAGTTCTGACTCAAAGCAACCCACCAGCCAGGATCTCCAGTGGTAAGGAGCTGCACTGTCAGCCCAAAGAGGTTTGAATCCTCCAGCCCTCCAGCTAAAGCCCGCTGGAGTTTTTCCATCACACAACTGCTTCTATTTCTGTTGTTGTGGATTGTCAAATCCGAACTGGCCCATAGATGAACCTCCAGCAATTATCTTTGTGTTGGCAAGTGATTTCTTACCACTAAGCCACCAGAACTCCCACCATCCTTGTTGTTGTTGCTGTTAGGTGCCGTTGAGTATGGCTCATAGCAACCTATGAAGAACAGATCTGAACCCTGTCCATCATCTCTGACACCCTCAAGCCCACTGCCGCAGCCACTGTGTCAATCTATCTGGTTGAGGGTCTTCCTCTCTTCCACTGATCTTAACCTTTCTGAGTATGAAGTTTCTCTCCTCCTACCAACATGCCCCAAGTATGTAAGACAAAGCTTTGCCATCTTTGTCTCCAAGGAGCACTCACTACACTCTGTCCCACTCTGCCCAAGACATATCTGTTTGTTCTTTTGGAAGTGCATGGAATACTTTTCTCCAATACCACAACTCAAAGGCATTAATTATTCTTCTGTCATCATTCTTTATTGT